AAATCTCGATGTACCGAAGCCCGAGGACCATCTTCGAGCGAGGGAGATGATGCAACGCAAGGGCGATGTTTTGAACCGTAATCTGCCCACCAAGGGCGAAGCTCGATTCCACAAGGACGCTTGGAAGGACCTCAGGGTCGGAGATTTCGTGAGAATTTACAACGATGATGAACTTCCCGCCGACATCATCGTTTTGTCAACCTCGGACCCCGACGGAGCCTGTTACGTGGAGACCAAAAACCTCGATGGAGAGACCAACCTCAAGGTTCGACAGGCACTTCGCTGCGGCAAGTCGCTCAAGCACGCGCGCGACTGTGAACGGGCCCAATTCTGGATCGAGAGCGAGCCTCCTCAACCTAACCTTTACAAGTACAACGGTGCTATCAGATGGCATCAGACCTTCGATGGTGACTCGGAACCCGAGCTCATGACCGAGCCCATGACCATTGACAACATGCTTCTTCGCGGTTGCAATCTGAGAAACACCGAATGGGCCCTCGGCGTCGTCGTTTTCACGGGACACGACACCAAGATTATGATCAATTCTGGCATTACGCCCAGTAAGCGCCCCAGAATTGCGCGCGAGATGAACTTCAACGTCATTTGCAACTTCGGCATCTTGTTCCTCTTGTGTTTGTTGTCGGCCCTTATCAATGGTGCCGCTTGGGCAAAGACCGACGCTTCTTTGTATTTCTTCGACTTCGGATCCATTGGAGGCAGTGCGCCCATGTCTGGCTTCATTACCTTCTTCGCCGCCATCATTGTGTTCCAGAACTTGATTCCTATCGCTCTCTACATCACCCTCGAAATCGTCCGACTACTCCAGGCTATCTTTATCTACAGCGACATCGAGATGTATTATGAGAAGCTCGACCAACCTTGCATTCCGAAGTCTTGGAATATTTCCGACGATGTTGGCCAGATCGAATACATCTTCTCGGACAAGACCGGCACGCTGACCCAGAATGTCATGGAATTCAAGAAGGCAACTATCAATGGCCAGCCATACGGAGAGGCGTACACGGAGGCACAGGCTGGAATGCAAAAACGATTGGGCGTGGATGTGGAAAAGCAGGCTGCTGAAGCTCGAGCCGAGATCGCGGACGCCAAAATCCGAGCTGTCGACGGTCTCCGGAACCTGCACGACAACCCGTACTTGCACGACGACGATGTTACGTTCATCGCTCCTGATTATGTTTCCGACCTGGCCGGCGACTCGGGAGAAGAGCAACAGATCGCCAACGAACACTTTATGCTCTGCCTCGCCCTTTGCCACACTGTCATCGCCGAAAAGGTACCCGGTTCACCTCCCAAGATGATTTTCAAGGCTCAGTCTCCCGATGAGGCCGCTCTGGTCGCCACGGCTCGCGACATGGGTTTCACCGTTTTGGGCAGTACCTCCGAGGGCATCAATCTCAATGTGATGGGCGTCGACCGTCACTACCCTATCCTTAACACCATCGAATTCAACTCGAGCAGAAAGCGAATGAGTGCCATTGTGCGCATGCCCGACGATCGCATTCTTCTCATCTGCAAGGGCGCGGACAGTATCATCTACTCGCGCCTCAAGCGAGGTGAGCAGCAAGAATTGCGCAAGATTACCGCTGAGCACCTTGAAATGTTCGCCCGCGAGGGTTTGCGGACGCTTTGCATTGCTCAGCGTGAGCTCACCGAGGATCAATATCAAAAGTGGCAAAAGGAGTACAACGCTGCGGCATCCGCTTTGGAGAACCGTGAAGAGAAGATGGAGGAGGTTGCCGACCAGCTTGAGCGCGATCTGACTTTGCTCGGAGGCACGGCTATCGAGGACAGATTACAAGACGGTGTTCCTGACACCATTGAACTGCTCGGCGATGCTGGTATCAAGCTGTGGGTTCTCACTGGCGACAAGGTCGAGACCGCTATCAACATCGGCTTCTCATGCAACCTCTTGAGCAACGACATGGAATTGATTCATCTCAAGGTTGAGGAGGATGAGACCGGCGAGACACCTGATCACCATTTCCTCGGTCAACTTGAACAGGAGCTCGACAAGTACCTGGAAGTCTTTGGCATGAAGGGCGATGACGACGATCTTGCCAAGGCGAAGAAGAACCACGAACCACCTGGCCCGACCCACGGTCTCGTCATCGACGGCTTCACGCTGAAGTGGGTTCTCCATGATGCCTTGAAGCAGAAATTCCTGCTTCTCTGCAAGCAATGCAGATCAGTCCTCTGCTGTCGTGTGAGTCCTGCCCAGAAGGCCGCCGTCGTCTCTATGGTGAAGCACGGCCTCAACGTCATGACACTGTCCATTGGAGACGGAGCCAACGACGTCGCCATGATCCAAGAGGCCGACGTGGGTGTTGGTATTGCTGGTGAAGAAGGTCGACAAGCCGTCATGTCATCGGACTACGCCATTGCCCAGTTCCGCTTCCTTCAACGCTTGGTTCTCGTCCACGGCCGTTGGTCGTACCGCCGCCTTGGAGAAACTGTCGCCAACTTCTTCTACAAGAACGTCGTGTGGGTTTTGGGTATCTTCTGGTACCAGATCTACTGCGACTTCGATGTTACGTACATCTACGAGTACACTTACATCCTCACCTTTAACCTTCTCTTCACCTCAGTTCCGGTCGTCATTATGGGTGTGTTGGATCAGGACGTTTCAGACAAGGTCTCTCTGGCAGTGCCTCAGCTCTACCGCCGAGGCATTGAGCGTTTGGAATGGACGCAGACCAAATTCTGGTAAGTCAAACCATGAGCGAGATAACTAATATGGTGCTAATAGGTTTGCAGGATGTACATGCTTGACGGCGTTTACCAATCTGTCATGGTTTTCTACATTCCGTACCTCACGGTGGTAGGCACCAGCTTCGTCACCAAGAACGGCTTGAACATCGAGGACCGGACAAGACTCGGCGCATATATCGCACACCCTGCCGTCGTCACAATCAACGCCTACACCATCATGAATACTTACCGTTGGGATTGGGTTATGATCCTTATCGTCGTCCTCAGTGACTTGATGATCTTCATCGTCACTGGTATCTACACCGCGACGGAGTCATCAATGTTCTTCTACCAGGCTGCCCCCCAGATCTATGCTCAGGCGTCCTTCTGGGCAGTCTTCTTCATCGTTCCCGTCATCTGCCTATTCCCCCGATTCGCGATCAAGGCGATTCAGAAGGTCTACTTCCCTTACGACGTCGACATCATCCGTGAGCAAGAGCGGCAAGGCAAGTTCTCCCGTCTCACACAGGGAGACGAGGCAACGGTTGTTGGAGAAGAAGCGGCGAGCAAGACGCCGTCAAACTCGTCAGTTAGCTCGCGCAAGGGTAAGCACATACACTACGCCAGCGTGGATGAAGACAGAAGGCCAATCTATCCACCTTCAGTTGCGACACACACGACGCACAACCCACGGAGTCAAAACGGAAGCGACGGGACCAACTACACGGGTCATCGGCAGTCCATGGACATGGTGCAAACGCAATCGCTCGATATGACACCACCGATGCGGCCCTCATTCGATCGAGTACGCCCCTCCTACGATCGAGCCCGACCGTCCTACGACCGAATGCGATCTTCGATGGATCGCACCCGGGCGAGCTTCGAGGCGAGCAGCGACTTCACCTCGGCGGCTCGTCTCTCACGAATAGAGTCTAGCCAATCATACAGCGACCGATTCCATCCGAGACGGCTCAGAGGTCTGTCGTTGACAAAGAGCAACAACATATAGACACCTCGACTTGACAACCACCGACCGAAGTTACTCCTTGTATTATACCATCCACCATGCCCTTCCGAATAGGGCCTTGTTTCTTTGCTGTTTTGTTGATATCCCCCGATGCATCACGATCTGCATGAGCGATCTACGACGTTCCCACCGTCGCGTACCAGCGACACCCGATGCTTTCACCCCCACCCCAGCCTCTGCTCTTTCATTGGTTTCGCGGAATTCGTTTTCGGCTTTCTTTTTCTCATTCTGTAGGGTTTTCCTATGGCGACGGCGTTCAAAGGAGGGCAAAGGAAAGGAAGACTCGGATGGCATTGTTTTGTACGAGTTTGGTGTGCATCCTAGATTTGAGAGGGGGCGCCAGGAACCAGTCCGTTTGAAGGTGCTGGAATCTCTCCTTAGGCCGGCCTCATGGCGTTTTGTCTGGGCGGGCCAAAGAAAGTGATGGCGCACAGCTCCAGCTGCTGACGCCTTTTGTACATACGCACGCAAACTGGAGGAGGAGGAGGAAAAAGAAGCGAAAAACACATAATACCTCAGGGGTAGCTTGGAGATGAGCAGCGGACAGAAGCCAGCCATTATTTGAATCGTTAAAACAGGATATTTCCAAAGAAGCCTATTCCCATGTGACGACCTCAAACACAGCCGCTTTGACTTGGTCTCGGCCTCGAATAAGGGTATAAAATCATTTTCGGGCCAATTTCGGAAGCAGCCATAACATCAATACAACACCCATTACAGATCGTAATCAAATGCAGCCTTGTTGTAGGTAGCGATATTTGTTTTCTCTGCCTCCTGCAGGCCTTATCTTCCCCGTAGTTATCTCCGCCCTGCCTGCTTCGGTGCGCGAAGAGCATTTACACTTCAGGGCTCTCCAGCAACTTGGAAAAACGCTCCCTCCCTATGATCTATCCAGTCTCGTGTTTCTTCTTTCCTACTCGTGGTGTTACAAACCGCCAGTAAACGTGGTTCCCCCGCACACCGCACGCAGGTACGATGCTGAGATGCGGTACCCCTGCACCGAACGCCATGCCCCTGCCAAATCATATCCACATCAGCGGGGGCCCTGGACCGGGGCAAGCTCCCCCGAGCTCTGCTGATTTTTGGCCAAGAACATCCGATGCGGCGGCGTTCATTCAGGGTCCGCCAGTACCACCAATATTTTGGCTGTCTGCTACGGAGTAGCTACCTTGGCCAACCGCCACTTCTTCACCGCGCGGGCTACTTTCACAAGCATCGTCGACAAGACTCCAGTTGGTGACCATTGGCACAGTTCAACGCCAATATGGACCCGGAGATTTGGGACCAGGTCGCTGAGAGGCTCAACTGGTTCGTCGAAGCTATGCCGTACGCTACCGCCCGCCAAATGGCGCCACTTTCTGCTCAACGCACCCGCTGACTTGAACACTTTGTTTGCAGACCCGGCGCGCCTCAATATGCCTTCGCGGCACTCGCAATTGCCTTGAGCATTTGGCTCCTACAGCTGGCTAAGTTCTGGAACGAGGACAAGGCAATCGTCTACAGTGTCGATCCACCCAAGCTTCCCGAGAAGCATACAATCGTCGAGGAGACGAACATCAAGGTACGCGGGTACTCCACGCTTTGAGCGCGCCTGAACATGGCTGATAATTGTTTTTACAGGTCTCCGGAACCACTGCAATTCAATGTTACGCCCCGGCCACTGGCCAGTTCCTCGGCTTCGTCAACCCCTCAACACCTGCTGCGATAGACCGCGCCGTCGATGCCGCCCATGCGGCCCAGGCCAAATGGAAGCACACCTCCTTCCGCGAGCGCCGCCGCGTTCTGCGTTCCATGCTCCGGCACGTCCTCGATAACCAGGAGGCCATCTGCCGCGCCGCCTGCCTTGATTCTGGCAAGACCATGGTTGACGCCCAGTTGGGCGAGATTCTGGTCACCGTCGAGAAGCTTACATGGACGCTGAACCACGGCGAGAAGGCGCTCACCTCTGAGCGGAGGCCCACAAACCTCTTGATGGCGTACAAGCGCAATGAGGTGCGGTACGAGCCTCTCGGTGTTGTCGGTGCGCTTGTGAGCTGGAACTATCCTTTCCACAACCTCATCGGACCCATCATCTCCAGCATCTTTGCGGGTAACGGCGTTTTGGTCAAAGTGTCTGAGCAGACAGCATGGAGCTCGCAATACTTCACCAGCATTGCCAGAGGTGCCCTCGTTGCCCATGGACATGATCCTGCCCTGGTTCAGACCGTGGCGTGCTGGCCCAACAACGCGGATCACATCACGTCCCACCCCAAGATCTCGCACATCACCTTCATCGGCTCTCGTCCCGTGTGTCTCAAGGTTGCTGCCTCTGCCGCCAAGTCTCTCACTCCGGTCATCGCAGAGCTGGGTGGCAAGGATCCGTCGATCGTTCTCGACTCTGCTGCAAAGGACTTGAAGCGTATTGTTGAGATTCTTATGCGCGGCACCTTCCAGGCCTCTGGGCAGAACTGCATTGGCATCGAACGTATCATTGCTACCCCTAAACTCTATGAACAACTCGTCGCTACTCTCGCCCCCAAAGTCCAAGCCCTCCGCCTCGGCCCCACAGCGGATGTCGGCGCCATGGTCTCGGATGCTTCCTTCACCCGGCTAGAGTCCCTCGTCGACAACGCCGTTAAGCAAGGCGCTCGTCTCCTCGCCGGCGGCAAACGACACGTCCATCCCGAACACCCCAAGGGCCATTACTTCACCCCTACTCTCCTCGTCGACGTCACTCCCGACATGGAAATTGCCAACGAGGAGTGCTTCGGTCCCGTCATGACAATTATGCGCACGCCTGGTTCTGACGCGGAGTCCATTCTCTCGGTTGCCAATGCTCCCGACTTCGGCCTTGGTGCCTCGATCTTTGGCGGTGACAACGACCCCGTCCTCCGCACCGTTGTCGACGGCCTAAAGACGGGCATGGTGGCCATCAACGACTTCGGCGCGACCTATGCCGTCCAGCTTCCTTTTGGTGGCGTCGGCGGTTCCGGTTACGGACGTTTCGCCGGTGAAGAGGGCCTGCGGGGTCTCTGCAACGTCAAGAGTATCTGCGCAGACCGCTTCGGCTGGATGGGTGTCCGCACCGCCATCCCGCCCCCCGTCAAGTATCCAGTGCCGGACCAGGAGCGGAGCTGGAGGTTCACGAGGGGCGTCGTCGGCGTGGGATACGCTATCGGTCTTGTTGGCAAGATCAAGGGTCTGTTGGACATTATGAAGAATGCTTGATTTACAGTACAGGAGTGGAGACGTATGATTCACGATTCTTAGAGCATCTTAGACAGACGGTAGATAGACGCATATTAATATGGCGAGAGGCGGCGAAAAGCATATTCTAATACCTGGTAATCAAAAGCTGTTTGGTCTGTTCGAATCCTCGCTCTGTCTCATCTTGCGTGACTGTGCCTTTCCAGGTGGTGTCCTCACAAATTCCTGTCGTGGATCTAGGTATACGGTCGCATCATAGGTGTGGCGTAGACGTCGGTTCAATAGAATCTAGGAGCCGTAGTTGTTCTCAAGCTTGGACAACTTGTAACAGGACCATCATTGCAGACACATCACCAAAGCCAACAGTCAGAACATGCGCGAGAGAATTATGATTAGTTGCCTCCAGACCCTATTCCTTTTGGCCGTCTAAAAATCCACCAAAGCATTCCGAATAGTCTGTGGGCAAGCTACCTTCAAATCCTCTAAACTTCCGAACCGAAATGTCCAAACACCAATCACCAGCCATCGCCACCGGCAGACGCAACCGAGACGGGAGCCTCGGTCGTCTGGTTACCGCCAGCATCATCGCCGCCGCCACCCCAGCCGCCAGCATCACCGCCAGCATCGCCGCCAGCATCACCACCCCAGTCACCGCCCCAGCCGCCACCACCGAGGTGAGCAATTCCAGCCTCCTCAGGGTCGAAGTCCGACTCGGTCTCGAACTTCAGGTTCTCAAGACCCTTGCCAGTGGGCTTGAAAGGCTCCAGGAACTCGGGAATATCCTGCTTGGTCTCCATGAGGGTACGGACCAGAACGCTGGCAATGGGCTCATCACGCTCGGTGTAGAAGGATGTAGCAATGCCACGCTGACCCATGCGACCAGTGCGACCTGGATGTTCTGTCAGTATACAATAGGCCATACTAGTCAGAGTGTGTCTTACCGATGCGGTGAGTATACTCCTCGATGCCACCATGGTCCATGCTAGGCAGGTCGTAGTTGATGACATGCTTGACATTCTTCACGTCAATTCCACGAGCGCTGATGCCAGTGGCGATGAGAATGGGAGCCTTGCCCGCACGGAACGCACGCATAGAAGCCTCACGCTCCAACTGGGTACGGTCGCTGTGCATGGAGGTGCACGGGAAGCCCATGTTGAAGAGGTAGTCGTCAAGCTCGTCAGCGGTACGCTTGCTGTTCACGAAGATGATGGTGCGGCAGGCAGCGAGAGACTCAATCTGCTCCTTCAACTTCGATTTTTTGTCGAAAGGAGCCACCTCGATCACGCGCTGAAGAATGTTGGTGTGAGTGCTGCCGATACGACCAACGCTGATGCGGACACTGGAGGAGGTGCTGAGATGCTCCCTCGCAAGGTCACGAAGAGCCTTGGGGAAGGTGGCGGAGAACAGCATGTACTTGATGTTCCCCTCCTGCTGCTCTGTGGAAAGAGTCAAACTTTGGTCTATTAAATAAGATCAGGGCGAGACTTACCACCACCGGTCATGATGACGTCGAACTCCTCACGCCAGTCATCTTGAAGTATCTCATCAGCCTCGTCGAATACCATGTAGCGCAGGCGGCGCAGAGAAAGGACGTCGGGGCGCTGGATGAAGTCGCAAAGGCGACCAGGAGACGCGATGAGGACGTCGCAGCCCTTTCCAAGCTGCTGAATCTGGTCACGAATGGGGCCACCACCGTAAGCGACGCAAGGACGAAGCATGGTGCGGTAGCACAGCTTGCGGGCCTCGTTGAAGATCTGAATGGCAAGCTCACGAGTAGGGCAGACCACGACAACCAAAGGCTCGGCGCGAACAGAAGCCTCGCCCAGCTGAAGCGAGGCAGGGTTGGGACGCGGAGCGGCCAACTTCTTCGCCTTGCCCATGAGCTTGTTGAGGATAGGGACCAAGTAGGCGGCGGTCTTGCCAGAGCCTGATCAGGGAGTCAGTGTGTGGAAGATACCATCATTAGGATAGAAAACTACCAGTCTGCGCGACGGCAACGACATCGAGGCCCTTGTGGATGGCCGGGATCGTGTACTTCTGAATGGGAGTGGGGGCGTCGTAGCCACACAGGTTAATGTTCTCGAGCATGACCGGGTGAAGACCACCATCCTTGTAGGAAGCGATGGGGTTGACGCGAGTTTCGCCCTCCTGGTGAACCTCAACTTCGGAGATGCTATGAATGTCAGCTTCAATCTATGGCTTTTTGTAAGGATACTTACGCGGTAAAGTCAAGGCCGGAGTGGTCACGGCGAGTGGCCGGGTCACCAAAGAGCATGAGCTCAAGCTCGGGGTGCTGAGGACCGACCTCACCGTACTCCTCGTCCCACTCGTAGATGGCAGCATTGCCCTCCCAGTTGCCGTTCTCGATCGGGCCTGACTGGGCCATCTCCTCGTAGTTGTACGTCTCGGGCTTAGACCACTCCTTACCCTCGGCGTCAAGGGCGACAGGCTTCTCAGAGGCGGCAGGCAGCGCCGCCTCCATCTCACCGACGGAGAAAGACATGGCGATGGAGTTGCTAAAAGAAGTAGGAGTTAGCAGTGGGAATCAAAGCAAAGGTGTCTGGTTTTTGAACCTACCAAGGTCGAGTGATGGTCAAGAACGCGGTGAAGGGCGACTGATCTGATGATCGCAGGCAAGACTGGACGAGATCCTTCCGGCTGGATGATTTTTGTTAGCCGAGGAAGGATAGAACGCTCACCAAAAAATTTGAGGATGAAATTGTTGAGGAGAAAACCGAAAAGGCTGGGTGAGAAAGGGCAAAAGGATTGAAGCAGCTTCCGCGGACAAGTAAGTGGGAAGGAAAAGGGCAGGGCAGAGTGCTGTCGGATGGAAGCGAGGCGAAAATATCCAGCCGACCGAACTCGAGTCTGTGATTTTGGAGGAAAGAACGCGCCCTAACGAAGCGCAAGGAAAGTGAGGTGTGCTTGGGTAGGAAGGAGGGATAAGGGGGGTTGAGGGAACCCAGGAAAGGTCTGCAGGAGGAAAGAGGCATGACCTGCGAAACGAGAAGCATCCAAGCCAAGGATCACGAAGTGACGCTTTTGATCTGATGAAGACAAGATGGACGAAGACGTGATGATGGCGATGGTGATGGTGATCTGAAGAAATGGGGGCAACCTACCTCTCGTGATGCTTGACGACGTTGTTGAAGACAGGCAAATCTTCTGATGTGAACCTCCCGTCTCGAAAGGCTGTGTTGTGTGGAGAGAAGAAAAGAGAAAGAAGTCTGAATCTTGGAGGAGGGAAGAAATTAAACATCGGAGGGAGGAAGGGCGCGCGGCAAGGCGGGTGGCCCGAGGGTCGTCGCGTCGAGACAGGCAGGCAGGTAGACAGGCAGGCGGCAATCAACAGGGCAAGAGTGAAAGAGGGCAGAAGGGCAGTCGTCATGGGCGTCATGTGGAAGGAAGGGGACCCAGGGCATAGGCACGACGTGGTCCTGCCTGAGGTAGGTGGTCTTGGTCGAGACCTGGCGTGAGAACTCGAGATCCAATGTCATCGGCTAGTTAGCCTCCTGAATCTGTACCACTGGATACGATCAGTCTACAAGCCAATCTCACATCTCTTGATAGCCTACGTCTTGGTTCACAACTACTGGGCTTGACGAGATCTTCTCGAACTCCTGAGGCTTGGAACTTTTCTAGAAGAGGGCTCAGGTCAAACCGAACTGCATGATGCATCTTGCCGTACCCAGCATGCAGCCTGCATGTCACCACAGCAGAAAGAGACGAGAGGCTCTGTTTGACGACCAAAAAGAAAGACATTTAGTAGGGGTGGGCTGCTTCACTTTCAACAAAGCCCAGGGCAGACACATAGAAACATAGAAACGGAATTCTCACCGAGGTGAGCGGGTATCATTGATGTATCCATCCACATCTATCAAACGCTGTCTGTTCATAGGCGTATCTATAGGGTATCTTGTGGAAGCTTAGGTTGAGTCTCCAGCCTTCATCTTGGACCGCATGTGAGATAACACAGACTCCAACGTATGCGTACACACCTGCTTCGGACCATACGCTGCTTGACACCTGGGGCCAAACTGTCGCTCTAAGGAGTTGCTGAATGGCTGATGGTGTTCCACAATGACGACGGAATCTCTCCTGTTTGTAATCCTGACTTTAGGGAAGCCTTTCATCGGTCGGATGCTCCTATGCCCCTTACCATAAATCCAGCAAATCCTGAGGGTCAACGGCGGAAGTAGGCTCATATCCCTCCATATCCTCCTTCAATGATTTCTCCAAAGTGATGGCAGATCGACCACTCGCACCGCCCTCCTTCTTTGCCTGCTCAATACCGCGGCTGAAGGATTCCGAGAACCTCTTATGAAAAACACGCTGTCGAGACTCGCGATCGTTGTACATCTCCGCCTCTTCGTCTCTACGAGTCCCGAATAGGTTCAGATACGCAAATGGATTTGGTGCCCGTGGGATGCGGTACATGTTGTCGTAGAGGGCGTTCGGGTTACTCGGCGCCGCAACCTCTGGCTTGAGCCCTGCCTGGAGAAACCTCGCTAGCACTCCAACCTGCCTTGCGTGCGATTGCGAGTCTTTAGATCTCAGACCGGTCTTTGGCGCACTCGTCCACCCCGTACTCGACTTTACGGACCATCCCATCAGCGCGCAGAAGCTGTTGAGCGTCTTGACCCAGCCGCCGGGACAGCTGACGGTCTCGTCCTCCGCAACATCAAGAAGCCACTCCAATACTGACAGGGAATCGTTACTGATGTCGGCAGAAAGATGCGTCATGCCGGCGCGAATGTACATGATGCACTTTTCGGCGTGATGCCTGACTTCGGTTTCTGGGAGTTCACGGAAGAGCTTGAGTAGTTGACTGCGGACGGGACCTGAGGCGTCAGAGATGAGGGGCAGGAGTTTGCCGAGGATGGTGGCGGTGCCGACGGGGTTGTTGCCAAAGCCCACCTGGCTCGTGAGATGTGCCAGCGCTTCTTTTCGCACCTTGTCTGATCTTGAGGTAGATGCGAGGGAGAGGTGGTGTTTGAATTGTGTTCCGACGTCAGGGGCTTCTTCTGCGAGGGACTGCTGGCCCATCACAATGGACTTGGCCTTGAAGCTGGTGTCTGTGAAGTTGGCCGGCTTGGCCTTGGTCTTGCCGACCTTGAACTTTGGTTTCTATACCATGCTGTCAGTAACGCTTCAGAGCCATGACGGGGTTGAAGGTGGTCCATCCACGCCTCATTGGATTCTCATACCGCAAAGTCCTTGGCCTTTTGGTTCTTTTTCCTCGTGCTGGAACCCATGGTGGCTGTGTATGTAAGTAATTAAAGACTAATGAAATATTTCGGTGATGATGTCGCCTTCGGTCAAGCATAAGAACTCCCAAAACCGTGTCTGATATGTTTTTACTGAGATTTTCACATGAGAGCAGCATGTCACAGCAATCAGACCCCTGCCAGAACGGGTGCCAGAAAATTTCAGCGGTCAGAAACGGCAGAATTTGAGCGGCGCTCGGCCCCACCAAGGCGTTGGTACGCTGTTACCCAGTGAATCCTAGCAGCAGTAAGGTACAACAGCACCGACCGAGCTTAAGCTGATCCAGCCTTACGGACCAAACACCCGAGCTCTACGGAACCGGCCGTCCACGATAGAACGAGTCACACACTCACTTTGGACCTCTCTTCCTCAAGTACGGCGGGCTGACGAGCACCCCGCCTCCGTCGCAGCACACACATAATGGCCGAATCAGTACCCGTGAGCGACCTCGAGACCCCTCTGCCAATGTCGTCATAGCTGACATCCAGCGCGCCCTTCGCGCGCGTGCAACACGAAGACCAACGGCCCCGATGCCCTCGACGAGACTCTCAGTCGACTCTCCAAGAAGCCCGGCGTCAAGGCCGTCGTCATCCTCGACCGAGCCACCGGCGCGATCCTCCGCACGACGGGACAGCTGTCCTTCAACGCCTCAGCGCTGCCGAGCGGCGGCTCCTTCTCAGGGGAGGGTGCGGCTGCGCAGCAGCAGCAGAACGGTGAAGGCGAAGGCGATCAGCCGCAAGGTCTGGAAGACTTCGCAGCCAAGGTATGGAACTGGGTTAATGCGTCGGGCACGCTGGTGTTGGACTTGGATACAGAGGTGAGGACACCCATTCCCCAAGACTCGGAGCGCAACATTGGAAAATCGCTGGGAGAGCTGGCGCTGACGTATCGGGGGTAGGACGAGCTGAAGCTGTTGAGACTACGGACGAAGAAGCAGGAGCTGGTCATCGTGCCGGATCCAAAGTACCTCCTCATCGTTGTCCACGACACACCGCCTGCTTGAGAGGCGCGCTCAGTCATCACGAACGACCTCATCTGGCGTTTCACGAGGCCCCTTCCTCTTGACCACATCGAGCGAAGTGCGCTTCATGCATGCATGCATATTAGCGGGCAGGGGAGCCCATTGGGCAGGCCGGAAGATGAGGGCATCTCCAAGATTACCTACGGTGCAGAAGGTTGGCGAAGACTAAGACGGAAAGCTCTGCGGCACGCACAAACACACATGCATATAAGATTGCTGCAGGCAGGCGAATCGACATGGGCTGTCGATGGGCGGCGCGGAGGCACGAATGATACCCTGAAATTACAAATTCATGACCATGGCATTTAGGCCCGGAAATCCAGCCGGGTCGGCAAGGCGGGTGCGGTCACGACGTCCGGGCCGCTTGCTTGACTAGCTTAGCTTTTCGACGCTGTTGGACGAATATGAATATAAGATGAATTGCAAACCTAAGCCCAAAGTCAAACGAGGTCGAGAAAACGAGAAAACGAGAAAACGAGGTCCGGACTGGCCGGCTTGAAATAGCGCGTAAACAAAGCCACCGGCTTCTCTCCCCGAGATCTTCTGGGCCAGTCCTTGCTTCGAGGCGGACTCGTCCATCAAAAACATCAAACTGGTCCGTTCGCCTCCTGTCGTTCACTCCCCGAAGGCACGAACGACATCTCTTCACCGAACACCACGTTTTGGTACCAAGAACCGTGGCGCGACAGACCGTCGACGGGAAGTGGGTTGGTTTAAGCGTCCAGCCGCACGCAGGACCACCCATCCACACACCACACCAGACGCACCTCAGAGCAACAACCCCCTCGTTCGTTTTGGGGGCTTATAACAAGCCTAGGATTAGATTAAAGGCCTGTCTCTCTGGAAGCCGCCGCCGTCATCCCCTGGTTTCGACCAGTCGGCAGTCGAGGTTTCGTAACCTCGCGTCAGAGAAATCTTTCCACGGACAACTTTTTGGAACGTGAAGAAAATGGTCCAACATGCAAAGGCGGGAAATGGGAATCTCGTTTCAGCAAGCTATGGGAAATCCTTGCCGGGCACTCCGTGGCGCCGGCCTGCCCCCCGTCCCCCCCTTTCGTCATCGTGTCGAGTTGCTCTTTCGTAACGAGAGTTTGTGGGCAAAGAAGTTTTTTAAACTTTTTTAACCTATTCGTGCATTTTTCTGGGCGTGGTTCGCTGCGAGGCGTGTTTAATTTTGGTGCTGCCCTGTGGTAGGGTGCCCTTGTAGTGTAACCTTCCGTTTTGGAGTGACACGACCTATTTGAACTCTGTTCGGGGTTTTGTTTACATATTCCTTTGCCAAGTGTCGCAATCAGTTGCTAGACTTGAACAGTTTTCGCGATGTCGAGTGCCATCTTATGCAACTTGATGGATGAAGCCGGCCCTCTTCCCGGTGTCCTCGCATGCTCCCTTCGACCCCGTTCCCGATGACTTTGAGACAACCACGTTCGAGAACACTGGAGAGAGCAGAGAGTACGCAGACGACCACTCGTGAATTGACGTTCTCACCCATGGCACTGTCGTCTCATGTCAAGGAAGATCAGGGCCCTCAGCTGCCCAATGCTTCTGCGGATACCTCTCTGGAGCTTTGGGGAGCTACTATGGTGTTATGGGTAAGTATTAGCCCCGAGCCACGTATCGTGGGGACTGACGGTCCCACAGGAAGCTCTGGAATAACTGCTGAGTGGCCGGCCTTTCGCCTGCGATCGATGTACCGCACCTGGTCTGCTTGAGCCACAGCTACCTATACAGGGGCTAAAACTTTAGCCTGATACCGCAGTAAGCTAGGGGGTGTGGTTTGGTTTCCGCCGTGGCGGAGGGAGGCAGCAGAAGAAAGTCTGCCGCGACGAAAGCCTTGCGGTCAAGAGCTCCCGTCGTCGACGTTTCAAAAGTCTCGAAAATAGTTCCAGATACAGCATAGGGAAGGGGGGATCTTCAAAGTGCTGGGCCGCACCGGTTCCACCACGGACCCCGAACCTGGTCGGCAAACGGTTTTCTTTACCCCATATCGAATGTTAGAAGATGTTCGAGAAAGAAAGAAAATTGAAGGACTCCTTGCATTCTCTGTGTTTGGAAACTCTGAAGCAAGCAGCATGGGAAGGGGGGGGCCCGGGCAAGGAAGGCTGAAGCCACATCCGCACGCATTGCAGAGGAACAATGTATCTCGGCGTTATCCACTGGTGGCACACGGCATGCTTCACCAGGATACGCGACGGGCCGACAGCGTCTTGACGATGGTGGCGTTTTTATTTTCTTCGTCTGCTCCCTCAATTCTGCAAGGCCACGGCACAGGCAATGCCAATTTGCTTCGATCCCGCACGGCGTTGCCAGGGTTGCGAGCTTCGCCGAGCTTCTAGTCTGCGGCATGATACGTGGTTTCTTGCTTTTTCCCCTTCCCTGGTGCTTCTTTTTTGCACAGCCCGTATTACAAATTGAAGGCCAACCCAAATCCAACTAAGCCGGTGAGTCTTGAATTTGAACCAAGGCAGTTGAGGGATCAACAGCGCGACAACTCAGCATACGAAAGAGCCCACTGCTACGTAAAATCTCCGTACAGGTCGTCATCTCTTGGAGGACGGGGACCGATGACACCTGTTGGGCAACGCTGGACTCGCCTCACACCCTCTCCTGCACAAGTGGAGAGTGATGTTGCGGATCCCGAAACCACCTAATCAGAGATCTGCTGGAGACCCCGGTCGTGTACTTCATTCACATGCGCGCCTGGTGGCTGTTCGTTCTTGTTCTGGCCTCTCGCAGGAACTTCATCTTCAGCTGGAGCTCCATTTTCCACCGAACATTTCTTTAGCGCTGCCTTCTCCGCCATTGATATTCCCAGCTGGTTCTCCGGAAGGAAAGAAGAGATCAAAATCTACAGACGTCAAGCAGCTGGGGTGGATTTCCCAAAGTGATGTGTTGTTGCGGCCGTGGCCATGGATCCCTTACCCACTTACGGCCTCCGTGCTCTGGCGCCGTCTGTGTCTTGTCTTTGCTGTCTGCTACCTGTCACCGGTCTCGATGTCTCTGTCCCTGGATGTTTGTCTTCCATTCCGGCACTGGCACTGGCCTGACACGTTCCCGGGAGGCGGCCTCGGCAGGACGCAGCGCGTTATCATGCAGTCTAACATCGTCAAAAAGGAAAGGGGAGAGGGGACATACATACAACACGTCCGGCGGCGGTGCTATAGCTCTCGCACTTTTTTACCTGTGCGACGAAGAGTGCCGTACCGCGAAATGAGAAGATGGGAGATGGGATAGGCCTGCAAATCAGAGTGACAGCCCGTGCCATGGAACCGTCGCTTTCTTGTGTCCCTCCATGCTAGCTTAGCTTCCCACGGTAAGGCAGCACGACGCAAGGCGGGACAGGGGACATGGTCCTGGGCTCTATCACTCTGGTACATCTTGCAGCACCAGGTCAGGATCAAATCCGGCGGATGAGAGCACGGAAGGCAGGCTGTGAAGGCGAAGTCGAAGAGAGAGGGAAAATGGTACATGCTCTGTTGTCTGCAAGATACGGATCACCCACACCCCCCAACTCGCATAGCGGAGATGACGAGCGATCTATCAGAGGTCCTGATGGTTTTGTTTTGCATGTTATTTTTCATTATTTTATTTACCTATTCTTTTTTCTTCAGCCCTCGCGTCGCTGATTGTCGCCTCGAATTGCTCGAGAAAGACGAGCCTTAGCCCGTTTAAATCGCACAATCTGGGATCTGAGACTGCCGGGCTCCGTCGCTTGTCCTTGCCCAGATCCCTGAACGTCTCCATCTCTGCCCATCTCCAGTCTGGACGCCCCTCCTCAATCGTCCCGCCGGCGCTGATGCTGCTGCCCTTCTCCTCGTCGTCCTCCTCCCCCAGCTCCGGGGGGGCTATATTCAGATACGTGAATAATAATTCAAGGACTCCCGTAGCCTGCGTGACAGGACAGAACACAGACCAGCCAGCCAGGCCCATGTTGCCCTTGCGCGTGCGCGTGCGGCTAGGACGAGGGGTGCACCAACAAAGTGGACATCTCGCAGCGCGGGCTGTCCTATCCAGTGCCTGTCTTATCCTGTGCCATCTGTCACCATCCAGTCATAGGAGGGTCGTTGCGGGAAAACGCAGCCCAGGCCCAGCCCAGCCAGACAGACACCAGCGCAGCAGATGCTGCCCAAAGAGGTGAAGGAAGAGAGGATAAGGTAGACGTGGAGAGTGGACGATAACAGGAACATGTCCTTCCCCTGCCTTGGCAGCCCGTGGTGCATGTATGCTGCGTGTGTGTATGTATGCGTGTGTCTCTCTATCTGTCTCTCGCTCTCACTTGATTCGCATTTCTTGTTTTAACATCCCGTCGCCTTGCTTCCCTCTCCTCTCTTCCTCTCTTCTCGCAGTCACACACTATTATTCTCTTCACCTACCGTCATCCATTCCCCCTCCATCTCGATTCTGCTCTTCCCGTTTCCCGTTTCTCGACCCCCCACCATCATTGTTGTCTTATTGCAGCAGTCAGTACTTGGTTCGACCATTTTGTCCCGCGGTGCCCCCCTCTCGGTTGCAACTCCAAGGTCGCCTTGCAGAAAAGTTGGAGTCGGCTTTTTGCCTTGCACGTCGGGATAGGACCTCAGCCCCCCTCCCCCCCTCATACGCCACCTTGAACCAGCCACGGCCAGGCGAGACAGCAAGAGAAGCTTGGAAGACCACGACGACAACCAGGAAGGAGGGAAGTATTCCAAGACTCGAAGGGAATTTACTTGGAAAGAAAAAGAGGGACGGTCCAGGAAGACAGGGCCCAGAAGAGGTCAAAGTTGGAAACCCCGAGGAAAAGTCGAGACGAATGAGACGAACACGGCAGCCACCTTCATCTCATCCCAGAAGAGACGACTTAGACGACGAGAAACAAAGATGCCGTCGCTATCGCTCCTAAGACGGGGGACGACCAAGAGACACGAGCAGCAGCAGCAACCGTTCACACCACAGACGAGTCCGCGAAGAGAAGATGAGAGAGTGCAGCGAACGGGTACTGGCTTCGGATCGGTGGTAGGAGGCGCAGGCGCAGGCGCAGAAACGTTGGCAGGATCAGGGACGGGCGAACGGGAGCGCAAGTCGTCCAAACGGGACTTCTTTGGCGGGCTCTTGGGTCGCAGCAGGAGTCGAACGCCGACAACATCGACGTCGTCGCCGGCCAGCTCTGCGCGGGGGACCGGTGCCGAATCACCAACCAAGCTTCCTGTAAGTCGGCATTCGCACGTTTACTCATGTCATCCTTTTCTTTGGTGTCTTTTCCGTTCCTTTCCCCTCCCCTCCTTTGACATTCAGAGATCATCCACACACACCCGTGGTTCTATTTTCCACCTTTTTAGTGGCCCGCTGTGGCTCTGGCTTTTCGGTGCCCCTCAAGCAAGGTCCCTGAAGGGTGCATTTTCGCTGGGGCGGGCGGGCGAGTGCCCATCTCCAGTTTCCCGATGCTCCGATGCTCCGATCGCGCCGGCGAGAGGACGGGAGGGGGAAGGGTCTGGAAGTGGGAAATGAGGGGGTCCTCGGAATAGAAGCAGGTGTGCTGGGAAGTCCCAGATGAGTGCAGGCAGACAGGCAGGAGATGCATAGACATTACGCAGTGCGAATACCTACCTGCTCCTGGTTGCAGAGGACGGCAGATTGGCGCAGCATGATGATGTATGTACGCGGCAAAGCAGCGCGCAGCAAGAAATCACAGCAGCACGCCAAAGCAAGTGGACGCATCTCAGTGTCACCCACCCCTCAGCTCACCCCGCTTCCTCTCTATTGAGTGAGTCTGAGAGACTGAGGTGCCATCTCACAGTGACCCCACTTCACCTCAGGTCAGGTCAGCGGCGTCAGTGGGTTCGCCTTACCTAAGGCTGGCTGCTGGGCTCCGTCACCCGTGCGCTAAGCCTACGCTTGCCGTTGGCCATGCCTCAATGGACGTGGGCAGTCACCACCTCAGTGTGGACGTGGAAGCACCGAACGTGCAACGTGGGGACGGACGCCCAGTGGGTCTTGCCTTCCAGCCCCTGGGCCTGGGTCTGGGCGGGCTGAAGCTGCTCCCTGCAAAAAACGCCCTGCTGATGCTCCAGTGTCAGTGGTGTCCCCGTCGTCGGTCGTCGGCGCTCGCCCTCCCCACCAGGGCCTGCCCGGGTCCAGTCTGGGTCTGGGTCCTGCACCTGAGGTGAGGTGCCTGCCCTGGGTCCCGCTGCCGCTGCAGACTGTCCCCTCCTCGGAGCTAAGAATACCTACCTACTGCGGCAATGGCAACCAAACCACAGTCGTCACTGCCAATTCCCCTCCGTCATGGCACTTCCCCGCCATCATCTCATCCAATCCCTTCATGGGAGCTGCATCAGGCCACTTTCAATGCCCTGTCTTTCTTTTCTTGCCCACCTCATATACCACGCTGGTGCAATTCCCGTCCTCGACAGTCCACTGGATGGATACGGCTGGTGTTAAAAAAAAAACTCGTTCTTGCTGTGACGTCCTCCGAGATGTTTCGCTTGATGAACCTGCACCTCCGCTGCTCCTCTCCCCTGGTCTGAGATGCGAGATGCTCTGACGATCTGTACCCGTTGCTCCCTTGCATGTTGCTCTACCGCGTGACCACCATCCGGGACCCAGCTCCAATTGCCCACCTGCACCCCTTTTGTCTTTGTAAAACGCAACTTCCTCCTTTTCTTTTTTGTCTTCTTGTGTGAGAGACGTCAGAGAAGCTGCTTGTCAACCGATATACAACACCTTTCAAGACAGGCCACGAGCGTGGTCAAGCCATTGAGAACAAAGACTTCACTTCCACTCCCTCAAAGAAGCCTACCCGGTCCTGCCAACCGCCATTCTACTTCAGTTTCGTCCAATTGGATCATCCTCGCTTCAGCCGTTGCAAAAAATTATAAGCCGTTGTGTCTCACCAGCAAACCCCAGGTTTCCCCTCCGCAAAGCAGTGCCGAATCCCGCTCCTCTCGATCGCCGCCCCCTCTTAACCCCAACAAGCCACTTCCTTCCCCGCCTCCTGCCGACAGCGAGCAAGCCAATGGCCAAAAGGCCAAACCAGTCTTGAAGCTGACCAAAATCATGGCGACCCTCAGCGACGACGACATTGAGAAGCTCTTCTCCGGAGCTCCTCAGTACTTTGCCCGCTCCGAGGGCCATTACACCGGTGCCCCGCATCCTTCTGTTGCATTTCCCTGGGACGAGTCCCTCGAGATCCGCGACTTGACCGACCATGTTCAGATCGAAGACGCCGCCTGGAGCTGCATCACAGCATGGCCTCATATCACGAGAGACATGAACAGCAATCCCGCTGCCATCAAGTGCGCCAGAGAGAGGAAGCGCGCCCACTTCTACCCCCGATGTCGAGAACGGCCTAATATGCTGAGCATGCAGGGGTTGGAGAAGGGCACCATGGGTTACCAGGCCGCTCTCGAGGTTCCCGTTGGAGATGCCCTTCAGGAAGAACAGTTCGGTTTTGGCACTCTCGGATCCAAGGCCAACGCCATCATCGATGCGCGCCAGAAGCTGCTTGCTTCCAAGGACGGCCTTCGCCGCCAGGAGGAGTCGGCTATACTGGACCAGCTTATTAAGAATGGCGCGAGGTACAAGGAAAACCGGATTCACAGGAAGATATCCCATACCTTGTACAACGAGCTGTTCCTTGGCATCTTGCACCCGCCCACCCGGGTGATCGATCACCACGACCCCTACAGCCTCTCGGTTCAGATACAGGCCCTCGTTAAGGTGCTTGCAGCGCCTAATGTCTGGATCGACTTTGCGCATGTGGAATGGAGAATTCGTCTAGGCCAGATTCTCTGGGGCTCGTTTGAGGGCGACGAGATTGAAACCGATCCTGAAGTTGACGACGCCGAAACCAACGAAGAACGTAAAGAAGAGAGATATTGGTTGCTGCTTCAGATACTCCTGTCGTGCGAGCTTCTAATAAGATTAGACGCAATTACCGAGGGCGAAGAGCTAGGGATTGAGAGCATTAGACCCGCCGAGATTCACCGTTTCGAAAAGGACGCGAACCAGTCCGTCAAGTGGTCGCTACACCTTGCGCGGGCTTGGCTAGAGAACATCGCGATTGTCGAGGCCAAGGTCGACCCAGCCAATGTTGGCCAGAAACGCAACTCTGGCGGCTGGCTGGCTTCGTTGACTGGCAAGATGAGCCTACACCATCACAACAACCATGCCAACTCAGGAGAGAGCATGTCCATTTACACTATCCAGGGTCGTTACAGCGAGAGACAAGTCAACGGCCTCACACACTTTGCGCGGAAACTGCGATGGCCTGATATTGAATCGGACATTTACGCCGAGCAAATCGAAGAAACCGTGGGGAAGGTGTCGGAGGCAACCCCTATTCATACGCCCGCGGAAACCCCATTGAGTATTGACACCCGGAGATCGTCCTACTTTGGTGGCGGCAGGGCAGAAGCCAGCGTCACGAAGCATTCGTCAGGCAAGCGTGGCGTTTCTGCGGCTCTCCACCCGTCTGGTTGGCTTTCCAAGTCCTATGTGTCGGGACTCATGCTTCCTGGCGAGGGACTGTACCACTTGATCATGTCCACTCTGTTGGAAAACGATAAAGAAGCAATGGCAAAGCTGGGGCCAATGGCCAACCTCTGTGGCGGTTTTGTCTACCGGGGCAAAAGCTTTTGGAGCACAGCTTGCATCGTTGGCCGTGTTTTGGCAGCTGGTAAGGGCTCTGCTCAATGCATGGGCTGGATTTCAAGCGACATCACGCCTCAAGGCCACGGCGAAGGCTGGATCAACATTGACGTTGCCGATGTTTCCGGTAAGTGAACAGACAGTTCTGATTTGTGCGTAATTGCTGATTCTTGTGACAGCCGATATGAAGAAGACGGGTAGACAAGCTCGGCTGTGGGGTAAGACACACGTTGAGCGGGACTCATGCGTCCTGGGGGATGCTGATCCCAGCTCTGTCTTGCCTGCGGACTTCATCATTCCGTACGAGAACAACTACTCTGAACCGCCGCCCAGTCTGACCATTGATTTCATCTCTCTGAATCTCTCTGCGCCTGTGGATTCGGTTGACACAACACCCACTGAGGAATTCGTGACTCCGCTCTCTGATGTGACTCGGAGCTCAGAGATCCACACTTATCCGTCCTCCATCTCGTTTTCCGTCGGCTCTCTCGGCGGCGAGTCCAAAGAGCACAATTTTGCGCTGTCCAACGATATCCATTTCGTTACGGCGCATCCGTGTGCTCCATCATCTCATGTCAAGGTGATGAGGTCGCCTTCAAGCCCCACAATCCAGCAAATCGATGTGGACGGCACCGGCATCGGCGGTAAGAGCTCTAGCCCTGCCACCATCACCGGTAAGTTGCCTACTTCTCTCGCCGCGCAGCCACGTATACTTACCCTTTCCAGGACATCCCCTGCACAAAATGTTCACTTACACGGTGATCCACCTTTCCGAGCTGCTCGAGAAGTCGGCCGCCTCGCTGGACGACTTGCTGCTCAACACGGCCTCAGTCCGGCGCCCCTCTCTGACGCCAACCATTAATACGACACCCCGGGTCCTGGTCATTGACTGCATCACGGGTATCACGCGTCAGCCGCCGACGCAAGAGACTCCGACGTCGCCTATCCTGGAGCGGACCGCTAACGGCGCCAGCCTCGCGGCGGCTAAGATGCACCTCGAGTCGCGGCGTCGTCAGTTTGGTAGCGACATGGAGATCCTCGTCCGTGCCTTTTGCGCCGAGAAGGGCTGGAACGCCATCATCTCGCGACGTCGACGAGGCTGCCTTGCCTGTGCCATCAGAGAGGCCGGGGCACTGGCATGGAAGGTCATCATTCGCGTCGAGTAGATGGCCACCCTTTTATTTCATTCGTACATGTAAAAGCTTCACAGCAGACGGTTTCAGTGTTTCAATTTTGGGCGTACGGGGGACTGGGACGGAACTACATGGAGTACACGACGTACACATGCACACACGAGAGGCATATAAAGCGTTGCTTCCAAGGAATGACTGAAGAAAGACGGAACGAGGTGTCTGCATAGTTACGTAAAAGCGGCAGTGCGAGATACCCCCTGATATACAAATACGCTGTAAAGAAGATAATCAACTCTCCTCAGCCCATCGGTTGTGTAACATTTGAAGGTAACGTGGGTGTCAGACGCTGCTGCACTGAATAGGGAAAGCGGCGCCCGTTCGTGGCTTGACCGTTGCAAAAAAGTAAAACAGTTTATATGCATGTTTTAACGAAAGTGTGCTATGTCGCGTGGCACTGCAGGCCAAGTTAGGTACGGATACGTAAACCAAGAATGCTACACTGAAAACAGCCGCACCACGGGCTCGAAAGACTCATCATCGCAAGTGATGCACACGACGCAGACCACGCATCGTCACAATCTGGAAGCTTTACATTGGTATCATGCCAAATCACACACACACGCACACAAACAAATAGCCTCTTCTGTTCCGTTTGCGCATCACGAAAACGTTTTCCTCTCCCCCATCCCAACCCACTCCAGCTTAGAGGTCGCTGCCGTCGAACCAGCTGTCGACGCTCCACTCCTTCCAGCCGCGCTCCTCGCCGGGAAGCTTGATGGCCTCGTACTCGTCGCGGGTGACCTTTTGCCACTCGTCGAGGGGGATCCAGCCGATGTAGGCGCGGTCGCCGAAGCCGCCGATCCAGTAGACGGAGGTGACGACGAAGCGGTCCCACTCGGACTCGTGGACGGGGCTGCCGGGGAGCCAGTACTTGCTGTCGGGGTGCTTCTTGACGAAGCAGCCGGCGAGCTTGAGGGAGGTGATGGGATCGACGGGAATCTTCTCGAGGTAGCCCATGAGGGAGAAGCGGGGGAGGTTCGCGGCGGAGTAGGGAACGGTATCGGGACCGTCCATGATTTGTTGGTCGCCGCCAAAGATCTTCTGCTTCAGAGAGGACAGGAGAGAGATGCGCTTGGCCGGGGGGAAGGGCGGCACCCAGTGCATGGAGAGGGATATGTTTGAGCCGGCACGGACGTTCTTGAACGAAGTGGCGATGGTGATTGCGAGGATAGTGGGGTTTCCCTCGTCCTCGCAATCGGCGACGTAGTCCATGAGGCCGATGGGCATGCCGGAGAGATCTGAGCCGGAGGCGGAGTGGGCGCCGGCCGGGAAGACCGTAGAGAGCTCCGCGAGCTTCGTGTGGGCGAGGATGCGGCGGGCCATAACGGCGGACTCGTACGAGGACGGGATGCGGGTGAGGGCGTCGGCGGCATCGTCTGGGTTTTGGAGGATGTGGGAGGGGGTTCCCGCTGGGAGGAGGGCGGAGGCGGAGGCCGCGAGGGCGAGGAGGGAGGCGATGGACTTCATTTTCAGAGAGCCGGTCGGTGGTTGTCCTAGAGGGGGAAAAAAACGAAGATAACTGTAGTTGTGCGAGGGGGGTAGCAGCCGGTTTATGTAGTCCCTCACTTGAGGCTTCCTTTATTCGGTCGGTCGGTCGGTCAGGGAGGACGGGATCGGATCGTACGAGGTTGGGCTGGCGGGTCGGAAAGGCTAGGAGGGCCAAGAGTTTGTCTTGGGAAGTCGCCTAGGTGAGGGTGAGAGGCTATTGAAGTGCAGATGCGGCGCGGGGACGATGCCTGCTTTTGGAGGTTCTTTTGAGACGGAGGTCTTGGTCTTGTTCGGTCGGGGTCCGCGCTGGGCGGCAATATACGGGGTACGTAATGAAGAAATCGCAATAGAGCCCTGGATCGAGCGAAGCACGGCGTGTTGGACGAGTCGGGTTCTGTAGCGGGCGTGATGGGGACGGAGGTTGGCTAGGTAGGGTTTGGTCAGTAGGTTACCTCAGGTCTTGGTTTAGCAAGCAGACTCCGCAGCGGCCATGAGGAGGAAGAGTGGACATGTGATGTCTGGGATGAGACGCTTGGCCGGGGTGGTTTAGATCTGATAAGCCAAACGTCGCCTAGCGCCAAATTGTCAGAAGGTTTTTGCTGGGTCTCCCACTGGGAAGGCTCATCATGCGGGCATGGGTAGGGGCATCGGCCGCTGTATGCGAGCCTGCAGGTTGGTTGATTTTTCCCTCTCTCTATCGCTTGTTGAGCGTCGGTCTCCCACTTGGCCTTGGGCCGAGAAGGTTAGACCAGTTTGTGTGTACGTGTGCGTCTATGTGTGCGTGCCTTGCACGGAAGATGTTGCATGATCATTTGCGATGTATGGTGGGAGCGAGTGGTTCGATACGGGAGCATGTGTGATGTTGATGGGTTGGTTGGGAGGGCGAAAGGACAAACAGCCTGCCAGAACATGGTTTGCTCAGATCTGCGTGCCGTCAGTGAATCATTCTTGCGCGGAAATCGCAGCATGTTCCCCTCCGGTTCTTGCCCTCAGCGCCAGCCACATGCAGAGCAAACCGGGAATGCACCATCTGGAATGAGCACGAGGAGCGGCTGCGTCAGACAAATAGCGTTGAACGGGGATTTTCCAAAATGTCACACAAAGTTCTTCGAAGCAAACTGACGTCTGGTCATTTATGCATACCACATGGCATTACGTAGATACTTGATTAGATGTAAAAGGGTCTGATTTGCCTGGGACCCAGAGAGGTACCTAACGTCCTTGGAGGGGAAGGAGGGCTTTGTCGCTAGCGAGCTTTGATTGGTGGAGCAGTGTTTTCTCAGCGGGGCATCTGAAAGGCGCGCTCTGCCAACAAAGACACCACGACGTAGGGGGGGGCAACACTGTACAAACTGAGCCCTTCTTTTGACGACGCGACGACATTGAACCGCTATAGAAGGCGCGCCTTGGTCACCGGGGGGAGATTCTCGAGTTTGATCTTCATTCGGCGCCCTCTGTGGTACGAAGGAGGGCATTCGGCAGCACCCGTTGTCTCACTCTCAATCAACCCCACTGAAAAACTGCATCTCATCTCAGTCGACCTCGTCCGCCACGGACTTAAAGGAGTGGACAAGAGCCCTCGCAGACACCAAAAAGTCCCAGATTGAGATGGAAACACAGACCGAGATGGCAACATGGAACGGTCTCCCTGTAGAGCTCAGAGGCCTCATCCTCGGCCACCTGGCCAACAGCGCCGTCGCCGAGCGTCGCTCCAAAATCTGGCGGAGTAAGGCCAACCGCCACGACATGGGCAGCTACGCCGTCGTATGTCGCCAGTGGCAGGGCTTCATCGAGGAGATCAACTTTAGCTCGCTCGAGATCAACTCCGCCAAGGATCTCTCGCGCTTCGACGAGCTGACCCAGGACCCCCGTCGCCGCTCGCTGCTTCGCCGGTTGGCCCTGCGTATCGAGCTACCCCGCTATGCCCTCAAGCTCGCCAAGGTCCCCGAGACCGATGAAGAGCAGAACGCCAACGAGATCGCCTTTACGCAGGCCATCTGGACCTTTTTCGACATCCTCAGCAAGTGGGAGTCGACGGGGATAGGTAGCATCGAGCTCGAGTTGAGCGCTGCTTCACCGAGCGATAAGAATAAGTACTTTGGGGAAGCGGGCCTCGACCAAGACGGCAATTCGAGATTCTTCGATCATGATCTGGACTTTTCATTCATCACTGCGGCATGCGAGCAGATTGGACGACACGGGTTGCCGGAGGTCTCCGTGGTGTCAAGCTGTCAGGTGCTTAGACAGAATCATCGCAACCTTTCATCCCGGTCGCTTCTCACCATCTACTCGAGTCTGCCCAATCTCAGGGAGGTTCGATATGAGCCATGGCATCAAGTGGATATGGAGGCACAACTGGAGGTCGACTCAGGTACTTGCCCCCCTTTTATAGTTGCTCGCATGTGATGCTAACTTTCAAAGACCACGCGCGAGGTCTACCCTTTTGGCCGTCGTATATCAAGCGCTTCAGCATCTTCGAGCACTTCGACGCCTTCAACGACGGTGCCGGTGGCGAAGAATGGGAAGACGCAGATTCCGACAGTGATGATGATGCTGCGGCAGGGGCAAATGGAGGCGGCAATGCAGACACCAACGACGCCGAGGACCAGGGCGACGTACCAAGAACAGCCTGTCCAAGCTTGGGTCAGAATCTCGGATATCTCAGTTTACAGGCTGAAGAGATGGCCGTGTCTAATGTTGCCGACGCCTTGGACTTCTTTGGTGGTGTCCTCGGCCGCAAAACCACAACCCCAGTCTGGCAAAATCTGCGCTTGCTGACTCTGACCTCCCACACAATGATCTCTGGCGTGCAACCCGAGAACATCAACGCCGTCCTCTTCCTCACAGCTACAGCGGCAAAACACATGCCGGCACTCAAGATGCTGGAGCTCTACAAGGTGGACCAGTTCGGCGCCGCCGTCTTCCGCTATACTGTAGACGACAGGTCGACAACTCTCAGCTGGGAAGGCACATGGGAGTTCCGCGTAGAGAAGCGCGTTAGGGACGCTTTTGCGGGTGTCGCCCGCAAGAACACCCCAAACGAGCTGGCATTCCTGCCAGAGACCTTGCTAGGCGACTACCGCGGACCATTCATCTTCATCAACGAGAACCTTAAGTCCAGGGAGCTGGTGCTACATCCTACGTCGTTAGAGGACATGCTGTCCAAGAAGATGGACAAGTGCAAAGCCTGCAACGGCTTCTGCGCCCACCCCAAGACGGGCGTTCAGGTTGAATGGGAGTCGCTGGCCATGATCCCTGGCCCGGAGGAAACTGAGGACGGGGATGTGTGAGATCGATGCTCTAGTACATTATGGATGAGTACATGATTAGATACCCGGCGCGCGCCTGGAAACGACGGAATGGCATAGACAAAACAACATGAGTGAAAGGTTACCATATATGTCAAAATATTCATGAACCTCTTCCAATCAGTCAAGCGAAGTCTAGTATCGCCCCTAATTCTCGCCGATGATTCATTCGGCGTGCCACGAACGCTTTGGGAAGGTCCTAACTCCTAAGTCCGAACTTTTGCCGGGCCACTCTCTCCGCCAAAGCCAAACAATCGCTGGGAGAGGGAAAAAAAAAAACAAAGGATGCACTGCTCGCCAAAGCCCGATTCGCCCCACCCCCACGTGACCAGGGTCCACGCACACAAACGGACAATTCGCCCTCGCTCCAATCCAGCCCTCACCCCATAGCAAGCAACCCGACGCCCATCGCCCGCGAGTATTCTCGACAACCCTACTCACCGAAAAATCAATCACAGCAACACCACCCCAAGCCGACAACATGGGAAAGGTTCACGGATCGTTGGCGCGTGCCGGAAAGGTCAAGTCTCAGACGTAAGTCTTGTCCCGGCCGTTTTTCTGCTTGTTTTTGGGAGGAGGAGGCGACGCTTGGGTCATCGCGGCAAACGATGAGGGGGAAAAGACACCGGTCGGTCGGAAAGAGGAGGAATCATTTCGGTGCACCGCACAACGCGTGCAGGCTATTCCATCGCAAGACGACAGAAGATTTATGGACGATGAGAAAACGAATGACCGACCGGGCTTCCTTTTTTGCTGGGACATTTGATCGATGAAAGACGATGAGATGCTGACATTCTCGATAGCCCCAAGGTTGAGCCCCAGGAGAAGAAGAAGACCCCCAAGGGCCGCGCGAAGAAGCGTCTCACATACACCCGCCGCTTCGTGAACGTCACCCTCACCGGTGGCAAGCGCAAGGTACGATTTCCTCGATGAAGACTCGCTCCGTCTTCAGAAACCCTCGACGATAAACACAGATTTGACTAACGCCACCGACTCACAGATGAACCCCAACCCCGGCTCTTAAGCACCCTGCCCTCTTTCTGTTTCCCATAATGCATTCGATACGACTCTAGGAACGTTTGGGCCCACACCGACATGAGGGTGGAATCGACGGGACGTTGTTAAAAAGGGTGGTGGTTGGCGAACAATGGAGAAATCTTTTTTATGGGAAAAATGCCCCCGTTCGGCGTCGGAGGAAGTGCCCACGCACTGCAAACGTGGAGGAAGTCTCCCCGCCCCTTTCGGCTCGACGATTGGCATTAAAGAGAAACACGAATGCGTACTGCAGAAATACGTAAAAAATCATTTCGGTTTTCTGGCATTCAAATCGGAAATGGGGAAATTCATTTTACATGCTGCTTCATTGTCTTTACTTCGTCACGCCTGCATGCGCAATGTTTGACTGCCTGACGTTCCGGAATGTCCTGGGCCAGCTGGTCCCTCGCTCGAGGAGAAATATATGACTGTTTTCTCCTGCTATACGAACACTTTTACTGTTCCCTGCCGTGACGAGATAGCTGACCGTGGTGGCGAATGTCAGATACTGCAACCAGCTTTGTCGAATCCACACCTCCGTTATGTCCAGTTGGTCATTTTTTGTCTGCGACGGACACCCGTTCGAACGCTATTGCGCTTCGAAGCATGCTTAGCTGGTCCAGAAGGAGACAGCGAAACACCGCAAAGACTGATTTACCAAAGGACTACAACCCGGATCAACCCCACGCTCAAGTTTGAGTCACGACTTTATCAAGAACTTACTTGACCACGGCGTGAGCTGGTTTTACAAAAGCGTATCGTTGAAAAAAGTCTGCCTAGTACTCGACGCCACGCCATTGCCGGTAACTTGCTGGACCAAGATCTTGAGTGCGAGGACAGTTGCGGTTGATATTGCCACTCCATTGGTCTATGTCCTGGTGACTGGCAATACCTTTGAGGGTTCTGGCATCATGCTGTGATTCTCTCGGTGAGGGTTTGGTGGCTGCTGACGGACGAACAGGTTGCAGCCAGAGACATCCCCACATCGAGATACTAAAGGTCCCAAGACAGTGTGGTCGAGATACTGGATCGTTCCTAGCGACTCTAACACGGAGGGAGTCAGGTTACCAAGGGTTTCATACCTGGCCATCAACGGGTCCTGTTGCATACGCTTGTCATAGGTGGCTCCTTTTGGCCCATTAGCTTCTTTCCTTGATAAGACTATCCAAGGGTTCCAAGCAGCCAAGAAAAGGTGGAAGGAGAAAGTGGCTGGATGGCCCACCGAGGGAACCCAAGATGTAGACTCAGAGAAGCTACCAGCGAGAACATGCCTGGTGATTCTTGCCACCCCCTTATTATATCCAGGTCATTTGTTCGGAGGATACTTTTTATTTTGCGGCCATCTTCCTACGTCGTGCAGCTCAAGCTTGGCACGACGAACTCCAGGTAAGCCGGACCAGAAATTCAAGTTTTCACATGACAAAAAGTCGGACTGTTCAGAACGACTCTCGCTTTCATGACCTAAGAAGACGTTGCCAAGCTGCCTTTTGACGAGACCGTCCATGGCCCTGGATAGTCAACCTCTGCGAGTTTTTCGCGCCCCAGATCAAAGTATGATAGCCCGAGGCACCACACGGTAGATTGCAAGAAGCTTCAGCTACCTTGACATCTCATGCCGAAAACTTATATATACACATGCTCGCCGCCAAACTCTTCACTGGCTCTCTGAACAACTTCTCCCTCCTATACAACTTTCACCCCAACATTAGTTGTATGATTTCAACGACAACAACAACTACTAATATTACTACTACTACTGCAACACTACAATGAAGTTCGCCTTCGCAGCCACGTTGTTGCTGACCGCAATTTCGGGCGTCGCGGCCATTGGGTGGCCGTCAAACGCTGGTTACTATCACGGATCAGAAGGCATCGTGCCTCCGGGACCCTGGGATGAGCCCGACGCCCGATCCAAGTGCAAGTATAGCAGGGGGAGACAAGTTGGTGGTGGACGGCGGTCGCGTTTCCATATCCGGATCAAGGACTTCAAAGGCGACGCCGGCTCCTTCTGCCATAGATTTTGGGAGAACCTGAGAAGATGGGGTCTTATGTAAGTCTTTCGTTTCCATCACAAGCCCCATCCCGTCCTTTGGATGGATATAGCTAACACGGATGACGCAGCTGCACGCCCAACTCGTTTGAGACCTGGAAGCCTTTCTGCGGCATGGAGGAGGGCGACCTCGCCTGGAGGTTCGAGAACAGCGTTAGATGTAACGAGGGCATGGTCGCATCCACCTTTTGGGAGGTGACCAAGAACGAGTGGGGAGGCATCCTCTGCAGAGACTACGCCGTCGATGAACAAGACGGCGCTTGTGCACACTGCCCCCTCATGAGCGAGCCTTTCTGGGCCCACACCATCTACGACAAGTTCAAGGATGACAAGAAGGATGACAAGAAGGATGTCAAGAAGGATGTCAAGAAGAGTGACGTGAAGGATGCCAAGAAGGATGTCAAGAAGGATGTCAAGGAGGATGACGGCTCCGCCGACGACCTCGACGACCTCCTTAACGAAGACGTCTTTGACGACAAAGATATCTCTGACGACGACTTCTTTAAAGAAGACCCCTTTAACGACGACGACTTCTTTGACGAGGACCTCTCTGACGCCTTCGTCAACCTTGACGAGGATGACGAGAAGGAACACGAGGGCCTTATTGGCAAGGAATTCCAAGCCTAATGATCGCCCAAGTGGCTCACGGAGAAGCAAGTTTGACAATGCTGCATCTATTTCAAGTCGGTAACAGTCAGTGAGGGGAAAGGGGTATGCTTTTTGGGCACAGTTCTGGGAGTTTTGCTAGCTAGGTAGTATTGGTTAGCCATCCAGGCAGTGTCAGTTAACTATCTAGGCAATATCTACACAGATCTATAATCTGTTTATCCTCCACTAAAGCAAATATATTCCTTATGTGCTCGCTATGTCGTCGCTATCGCTGTCGTCATTACTTGTTATTCCTATGTTAGCCTCATCTATTGTCGTCTATTATCGTTTTATCTTCGTTATTGTTATTACCATTCCTGTTGTTGTCTCTACTGCTGTCGTCCTTGTGCAAGTATGACGTGTCTACGATACTACCCAGCTAGCAAGACTCTACTTAGTACCATCAAGTTCCCGTTACTAAGCACAATAACACTTTTCGTAGCGCAGGCTTTAGACGAGAGCCTTGCTCAGAGCGTCCGCACCTTCATACACAAGAGCAATAGTTATTGGATGAATTCGAAGTAGTCCTCCTACAGTTTGTCCATGTCAATTACCACATACACCACGCATCGCCCATCGCACGCGCACCTTGAGATCCCAGCCCGACCCAGGTAACCCTCCGCCCTTCCCTCCCACCACCTCTTCGTCCCTACACAGCGCTCCCAAACAAACCGCCCCTGACAAGAACCTGCCAAACCTTCAAGCCCGGGGGCCCGTCTGCCTCATCGCCTCCGCGCACTTTTCCAAATCGTCCGTTCCGAACTGAGACTTGCAGACCCTGATAACCTCTGCTTTCTGCACACCCGGCGGCGGCGTTAGATAAACCGCGGGTGGCAGCGCGACGCTGACGAACATTGGCTTGGGCAGCCCAGCGGCGATTTTTCGCTGCTCTTCCCGATGCTTATCATGCCCTGAGGGCTGCGCGAAGACGCCACCTAGCGCGAAGCAGGCGAGGAGAGTGAACTGTCGCATTGTCGAATGAGCCGTGGGGTGCTGTTTCGTTTTGTTTTCTTTAGACGAGGCGGCGTTTGGCGGGCTATGACGAGGAATTTCTCTATGGCGGTGGTTCAAGGATTGGGAGATGAGAACTTTTGTGAAAGCCTGGCGCCAGGATCTATGGTAGAAGATAGTCACGCAGGTCATACCATGCGAGACGTGATCCAAAGATATACGAGTGCGGTCTTCTTATACTCGGCATCTACACGCGGGACCCCCTCTCTCGAGGACGAAGCCGACGACCACAGGGCTGGGCCGAGAAGGGCTGCGGTAGACACGAACACCGTCTGCGTCTGTCTGGACAAAGTAGCAGACTTTGGGATTATAGAAAGACTAAAAGCCGAGAGACGTCGGCACATTTCTTCTTTCCCATCGTGGTCTGCTCGCGATGCTGGAGGGCTATTGGATCGTGGCGGAGATGCATCACGCAGGCGTAGATAGATCCCTCTTCCCCGTCTTCCTCGGATACTCCCGTGGTTAGGTCGAGATATAAGTGGGTGTTACTTTCGAGCCTTGCTCATCCTGCAGGATCGAAAATCAAACAGCGTTGTCGATACCTCTTTCAACATGAAATATGTAACGGAGAGAACATCCAATTGATAATCTCGTCTGCAGCTGATAGCAGCGAAAGACACAGACACACCAACGGGAAGAGATCACTATCCAATCGCATTCCATACATCGAACGCGTACTTGAACAATGGCCCCCGGTATTCGCCAAAGCCACGGCGAACTCAAAGAAGCAACCTTGTCGACTGCAGTCGGGCCCCATGACCAAAGCCACCAAGCCAGAGCGACGGGCAGCAGTCTTTTTAGGGCTGGCCCCGACATTTCCACATCATCAACCTCTCTGTGGTCTGCCAGGATTGTGACTATTGCAACTCGACGTCAAAACAGGCGCATAGGCGACAGGAAGCTCGCCGCATAGCTAGCTCGAAAAGGGGGTAGGAAAACAAGAACGCCTACAAATCTCAAAGGGCCTATCTCGAGAAGAAGTACAAGAAAAGAAAACAGGCCTTACATGATGAAATTGGCATTCATCTTGGCCCTCGCCGTCGCTCTTGGAGGAGAAGCCGCCGCAAAGCCGTCGAAACGCCCTCCCCTCTCACCCGATTCACCCTACTTGACGGGAAAGGGATGCCCGCATGGTTGGAAAAATTACGGTGTGAGTATAGCCCCCAGATTCCCGCCAAGCTGTATAAATGCTTCTAACATGGCCGGAAACATGTAGCTTTGCAATGGAGATTCGTGCCAGTGGGCAAACGGGCGGAATTACAGGTGCAGTCACGGATCCTGTGTAAGCCTTGTCTCTCTTCCTCACCTCGTTATAAATTAGTCATTTTACCTCCACAGAAGCCAAAGGGGAACCCTTTACTGATATCAATACGTTGGTTTAGGTTGGCAAGGGAGGTGGTGACGGCGCTTGTTGTGGGTGGCCGGAAATAACCTGGGAGGGTGGAGCAACATGCCCCAATGGAGGTTGGTGATCTCGGGCCCGTCTGCCAGGGTGTGTTCCAGACCGGCCTATCAAGCGTACCTTGGGAACCGGCGACGGAGCGAAGTATATCCCCGCAGTGCTCCGGGGGTGGGGCGAAAACGCCGAAGCCTCAGTATGTAGTCCTTCCAGGTCGCACGACCTCGGCATCGGCTAAGTCAGGCATGACCATCACCAGCGTCCACATTGACACATCGCAGGGTCTAACTTAGCAATACAAGTTTAAGGCATAAAAGAGGTATCTCAGTTTATATCATCCGATGCGTGGCTCTAGGTATAAAAACATGAAATTGACCAATCCGTGAAACCCTCTCACTCTCTGCGTACAAGGGGGACCAGTATATCCGGCGCTCACCCAGGTCTTTCAAAGACGCCGCTCTAGAACGCTTGGAAGCAGAAAGCTCGTCCCTCCCAACGTATCTGGAGAAGATCCAGATGGTGGCCGCGCGCTCGGGTAAAATAAAACAAACCCAGGTCATGCTCGTAATCCGAGAACCGTTGCTCCTCCGTAAAAACATCATCATCTTCGGCGTCTACAGCCTGACGCATAAGCCACCATTACTCAGCGCATTACCTGGGATATCGCTCGCAGATCAGGCATCCCGAGGGTGCCTCTGATCCAAGAGAACAGACTTGCGCAATACAGCCGTTCAACCCCATTATGTTCCCTGTTCAACTGGCCAAAAAGACAGACAACCGCCACGTAAGGACCGATATCAAGGTCTGGTATCAAGCAAAATTCGTAAACAGCGCAGAAAGCATGGCCCGATCCTCAAATCGAACTCCGACCCGAGAGTGGGGAGAGAGTGTGTACCCCACCGCTGATTCTATAAGTCGCAAGAAAACGCTGAAATTCAAATATGGCGCATTCCGTGTGATGCCGTGCGAGTGGTCCGTCGCAGGGCCTTACAAACTCATCGTGAGCCACTCCCATTCTTGAGGACCGGATGCCGTACCGCCAGGGTTCATCATCGGCCCATTTTGTCCACCGGGCATTCCCATCATGCCCGCGCCCATCATGGGACGCTGGGTCATGCCAAGACCGTTGGCCAAACCCAGGGAGCCTGTTGTTGGCATAGGCGTAAAACCAGTGGACCCGAGAGATTTCGCAGCCTCGTTTGAACCCGTCGAGTTTTCGGGGCTGTCGACTTCCATGCCAGAGAGCACATCGCTGCCAGCACTCTTGCTGTGGCGGCGCTGGCGCTTGGATGATCCGGAGGAAGACGAAGTGCCACTGTTCCGGGGTAGGGAGGCGGCGCCAGGACCCGGTGTGTTCTTTGGCGGCGCGGCGGCAATCGGCACAACGCCCTTGCCACCAGCAGCCGCGCCGGTAGACGAGCCCGTTCCGTAGCTGGTAGGTGTGCTACCAGCAGTGTTGCCTCCGGATGCGGCTCCACTTGCGGGACTCTCGCCTTCGTTCGCACTGCCGGCACGCACAGCAGCAGGTGGTGTAGTGGCGGTGTTGACGGGGGTAGAGGAGATGGCCAGGGTCGAGTTCTTTCGTGAGCCAACGCCCGAATTAGCGGCGTTCTTCTTCGACCGCGTACTCGTGCCGCCGACTGGCAGGCTTGCTCCCGAGCCACGGTTCCTCTTCTTGATAACATCCGTCTTCAAACTCAGAGGTCGCACCACACCGTGGAGTTTCAAGAACAGACCGCAAGCATTGCAAAGGGGCTGGCCTTCAGGGTTTCGTCTCCACAAGGGCGTTGTTTGAGTGAAGCAGTTGGTGCAAGTTGTCGGCGTGTTTCCCTCCCCCTGGTTGCCCGCTGCAGCCTGCAAGTTCGTTGTCGAGCCAGACTTAGAGCCAGGCGGCGACGAAGGTCGGCTCGGAGCCACGGATGAATAGCCAGAGACGGTGCCGTTGTTTTCGGGGGGTGAGTTCGGTGTCGACTGTGCCATGCGGTCGAAAGGGTTTCCATTCCTTCCCAAGTGCCCTGCTGGAGTTGATGCAGTGCGCGGAACTTTGCTGCCTCTTCTATCTGACCCTTGACGGAAAGACTGCGACTGAGATCGCGGCAAGTTGCCGCCTTCCCAGTCATTGTTGTCGACGTAGTCTGTAGTGGTGCCGCCGATGGTGACTTGTTTGCGAGGCGGCCCGCCCGGGTAGCGTGCAGCCTGCGTGCTGTACTGCCCTGGCAGAGAAGGATCCCAGCCTAGCGAGCTGCCGTCGTCCATGGGTCCGGGAGAGAAGTCTTGGTTCATGACCATGTTGCGATCGGCGAATGCACCACCATCCTCCTCGTCCGAGTCGGCACCAAAACTGAACATGCCTTCATTCGGCAGGGATATGCCAGGTGAGCGTACCGAATGATCTTGCTGGAAGACCTGCGTCGGATCAATGTGCCCAAAAGGACTGGTCGCACTGCTGAAGGCGGATACAGACTCGGTAGTAGGAGCAGATGCAGGGAACATGGGGTTCCCGTTCGCATTGTTGTACATGAACTGCTGGTTCATTTGGCTTCCCATGTTTTGAGAGCCCGGGCGGAAGTTTTGCGACCTCTGGCCGCGCATATCCATCGATCCAAAGTAGAAGTTGTCGTTATCGGGCATGGGGTGCGGCGTCGATACAGTGGAATGATAAGCCGATCCCGGGGGCGAATAGAAATCTGACGGGTTCAACGAAGAGGGCTGGGCTCCAGAACTATTGTAGACACTGGAAAAGGGGCCATGGGACACCATGGGCGAGGTGGAGGGGGAGAATGAGAAGTTCTGCTGGAAGGGCCCAGCTGAGGTGATGATAGGGTCGTTCTCGATGTAGGTATCGAGAGGGAAGGGAACTCCCGACTGATGCGGGTTCTGCGTCATGTTGGCTTGATTGGCGTTGTCGAGTGAATATTCATGAAGTTCCGAGTCTGCATCCAAGTCATTGGAGTTTGTTGTGTTGCTGTTGACGGCGGGCACATGGGGAGAGAAGTCGGCCGGACGTTTACGGGTCTAAGTGTGGACGGGTCAGCGAAGCCCAAAAAAAGGCACTAACAGTGATATCGGGGGGTGTGGCGATGGGCGCTGGGGGGGGTGCGCCAGACAGGAAAATGAGATAAAAAAAAAAGGTGATGGATGGGCGGGAAAAAAACATGTGCGTCGCTGAATTGGGTTGCAGCTTTGACAAGGGAAAAGCGGCTCACCCGTCTCTCGTCAATACTCGTTTTACGGTGATGGCGAGTAATGTAGTTGAATTCATCTTGGGTCTTTTGGTGGTGAGGAGGAAACGGAACCGACTGCGGGACAAAGTGCTGCTGAGCGACTGAGTCTTTGCGCGATTTGATGGGAATGGCGGAGGTGAAGGACGAGTGCATCTGGTTCCTGTCGTCGCTTTGCTTCTGTGGTTGAGGGGAAGGGTTCGTCACTGGCGTCGCAATGTTCTCGGAGAAGATGAAGTCGTCAAGATTCATGGAATCCGGGTGGTTGACGTTTTGCTCTGAAGACTTGCGCAATTGAGCAATGCCACTGGGTGCATTCAAGCCGAACGAAGCGGATGCAGCTGGCGGTGCCGGCGCAGATCGAGCGAGTCTGCATCATCCCACACAGGTTAGCCAGGTCAGTCAGCTACGGCCGGCCGTAGTAGTCCTCGTGGCCACGGCATACAATGCAGCAATAGCAGAGCACCACAACAAAAAAAAAATTGAAGGCGGAAAGGGATATTTCTCACCTCGCCTTCTCCTCCTCCATTTGCTTCTTGCGCAAGTTGAGAGCCATCATTCTCCAGGTCAGGTTCTCCATGCGCTGCTGGTTAGGCAGCATCTGCTTCGTCTTGCTGAAGAACTTCCACACCTGAGTCGCCAGCGGATCCTCCCTCTGCATGTCCTCGGGGCTCTGGTTAGATTCCATGGCTGATGCCTTCTGAAATGGCGGAAAGGCCGAGTTTCGCAAAAAGTCGTCCTGCGCATTCGGATACAGCGCAGCGGAAAGGTCGAGTCTGAGGTCCCTCAGGCCGGCGGGCAGCTCGCTGGGACTGGCTTTGGAATGCGCCTGGGGTTGCGACGTAATGGCAGCAAACGGGTCGTCAGGCCTTCGCGGGAAGCGATAGTCGTGTTCTGTTGATGTGGGATTCATTGAGGTGAATGGACTTGACGTCGAGATTGGTGACGATATAATGGCAGCCATGTGAATAGGTTCTGTCTCTCGTACTCTCTCTCAAGTGATGCAGAGGGAAAGGAAAAAAAGCTTCCTTGGGGAGAGGGTAAAGGTTTCGGTTTCGCGGCGAGTCGAGGGTCACAAGAAAGGAATTTCCCCACGTTCGCTTGGCTGCAACTCTCACTCCCACACTGGTAGTGGTCGTCTGTGACTGGGTGGCTTGCTTGTCTCCGACTCGCTCTCTCGCTGGGGCTGGTCGGCAGCAAAAGGTACTCTGTCAAGGTACCTTACCTTACCAATTACCTAGGTAGGTTGGCTGTGGTGTAAGGCACACGCAGAAGAGGCACGCAGAGGTTTGGACAGAACAAAACCCGTACTCTGACGGCAGATGGTGTCTCTGGTGCTGTCGGAAAGGTCTCGAAAGGGTTCAGAAAGGAGTTTAGATCAGGAGGAAGGTTTCGATGACTGGGCCGTCTCTTCGATGGCGCTGGGTTTTTTGGTTCGGTGCAGCAAGCGTCGAGGGGGAGAACGGGAAGAGACGTTTGTTTGTACTATGACCATGACCCTACAGGTCGGCGGCGGGAGGGATCTCTTGTCGCAGCGAGGGCCGGCGGAATAGTGGGCGGTATTGCGTAGGTAGCGCAGCGCGCGAGAGAGAGAGAGACAGAGACGACCTCCACTGAGAGAAGGAGCGCGCGACCAACAGCCGTGAGTGGTGTCGCTTGCTGGGATGCGATGGGACCAGCATCAGTGCCCACCCACGGTACGCCCTCAGTCTCTTAGCGCAGCGCAGGTAGCGTACCTAGTGGGTGCCGTGCCTCGTGCAGGGTGTGTGCTAGGTGCCAGGTGCTGGGGGGGCAGGAGGGGAGGGGGGAGGGGGGCAGCGTGGTGGGTGAGTGGGAGTTGGAGTTGGAGTGGGAGTCGAAGTGGGCGGGTCGGCGTGGGACGGACGTCGTCGTGGTCGCCCTCTACCTTACAGTGGCTACCTTACCGGACCTGACCCTGGCCATGCAAATGCGGGAGGTGGGTGTGGAGCCCAATCGACCTCTCACCTACCGTGGTACCTTAGTACCTACTTTGGCACGAATCCAAGCCTCCCGTGCCTCTCGCTGTACTCATCTCCCCCCCTCCTTCTCGCACAGAGAGAGAGAGTTCGTTCGGCTCCTGCACCTCTGAAAGACCAGCCGTTTTACTGGCCAATCTTGCGCTGCTTGTAATGCACCGAAGCAAAAGGTGGATCTTGCACCGAAATTATTAAGGTGCTGTTGTAACTATCAGCAAGGTGGTGGGGGAGAACGAGAACTCCCAAGGCCCAAGAGGGGGACCGCCGCTACACACACGCCCCGGCTTTACATTCTCCTCTCTCTCTCTCTGCGCCTGGAATACCGCAGTACTATAATCCACACTCAAAGCCGCCGTCCGTCTGTCTGTCATTCGAGATGCCCTCGCAGAATGCCCCATCTTGTCTTCCGTGCCGCTCTGGAGCCTGTCTGCTGCACTCTGTACACGACCTTACCTCGAGCTGGGTAGAGCGTGCAGCGGTCCAGTTGGGCCCCTCCTCCTCTCTAGAGACCACAGGCATCGCTGCATCCCAAGGTCTGTCGCTCCGCCAGGGGGCAAGGCCACAGGCAGATCCCAGCGAGAACCGACAGCGGCGGACTGCTCTTCCCGGCTTTCCACCACCACCGGAGGGAAGATTGCTTAGCCTCACGATTCGTTGGTGGAAGTAGTTTACTTCACCGTTGTCGCTCCACGAGCTGGGAATACCCCTCTTTGAGCCCAAATCCCCAATGCCGCTTCTTTCATCCTGATACTCGCCCTCTGTCGGACCCCTCTACCGAGACGAGACGTTAACATGGCCCATCATCGACATCCTTCCTTTCAGGGGAACATTCTCCATGGGGACACCGAGGGGACTGACATCTGATCCGAATACACGCCGCGCCCGGCCCTACATCGCATGCTGACTTGTCCCTGACAGCTTACTAGCAGTCGGCAGCACGAGCTTCATCCACTCCATCGGACACCATCTCAAGCCACGGCGTCTTCGAACGTCGCGAAGAACAAATCAGACGCATTTGTCAGGCTGACCATCGCACGCCGTAGGCCGACGGGGAACAGGTTAAAAATACCGCTCAACCGTACGATGCCCTTTCTGAGAGGGTAGGTAGCACCGAGCCGAACTGCTCCAGCGTGGGAGAAACCAGTGCGCCGGGCAGCGGACGTTGAACTGATTTAGAAGAGGTGGAGGCCACTAGAGACCAGAGGCGGCAGCGGCAGACGAATCGTACGCACTCGTCTGTACCGCAGTACTGCCGTTCGGAGTCTGCCCGGCCGGCAGTCCAGCTCGCCGCTACCTTGTCTTCAGTGCAGTGCCTTGTCTCGTTGCTCCCTCTCCTGCGTCGTCTGCCTCTCCTCCTGGCAGGTCAGCCACCCAAGACAGACAAGCGTCATCACCAGCACTGCCCGCCGTGTTGGTCGATTTCTGAGCATCAGCTAACATTTGCCGTCGCTTCGGCCGTTCCTCCTGACCAGAGTCGAGCAGCACACGACCTCCATCACTTCCCCGTGTGTCTGGCCCGCTCTGCGTGATCGAGACTACAGACCAGCGTGACGACGTCCGAATCTACGTCCGGCGATGCGACCGTCTGTAGTCCAAGGACATCGACTCCGCGCCGCTGGTCCAGAATCCATGGCAGCTAGCTTACATGATCCCGCCCGTCAGGTCAGATTTCAGGGTCCTGTCGGGGCATGGGAGGAAACTTGCAACAAGCAAGGCACGGGCAAAAACCCGCCCCTCAAGTCCCATCTCGGCGGAACTCCACTCCAAAGGACTTCGACTGTGCGCTAATGAAGCATGGGTGAGGAGTAAATCGAGGCACCACTGCAGCAGTTGCGCGCCGGGTGGCGGTCCCTGGTGGCGGTACAACAATGCGTAGCAGTCCTGGCCTTCTGGCACCGGCCTGGCAGCGCCTGCCCGCGTGTCCAACGACGTCGCTGGTGGGACTGGTTCTGACTCCAGGGCCAGAGCCAAGCCGTCGCTCTAGAGAGTTTTGGTTGACCGAAGCCGTTCATTCGATAGATCATGGACGGCATCTCAGTCAAGAGACACAGACCTGGCATCTGATTCCGTCGTCGGTTCATCAGATCTTTCCCCATCCGTTTGCCTCCTTTGGCCCCTCTCCAATACCCGCATCCATCATCCACATTGATATCGGAAATACGTGGTTATTCCTGTTGCTTGCGCATGTTGAACGCGCATTCCAAACACGGGGCAATTTCTCGTCAATGAGATCTGCTGTATTCTTAGGCTGTCGTACCCGTCCATGTCAGGCGGAGCCCCATGGAGACGACCGACTGGGCCACATGTTGCTGGGAGCAATTGGTCCAGGCCCCTGGTGCGCCACTGCCTGGCCTTCTTCAGTGCAGACCAAGCAGGGGGGACTGAGAGCTTGTATTCGTACGCGGCTCGCTGCTGCCGCGGTACATTTTGCGCTTCCGGCTGCCATTGGGGGCCTTCTTCATGACAGTGTGCGGCAGGCCCTTAATAAAGTAGCAGTTCGTGGCCAGGTTTGGACAAGCTAATCCCAGAGTGTTGGTGGCTAGTGAAGAGAGTTGCGCCCGCTGAGGCGGGTTGCTTTGCTGATGGTAATGAGCAGGCATGACGGCTTCAAGGAACTGCAGGCTGGAGGCTTCGTGCTCATCACGGATCTGTTGCTTGATTGATCCATGGGCATCCACCCAGAAGCAAGCGAGAATTCGGGCGCTTTTGGCCGTGGGAAGCGTGGCTTGAGACCGGCTCGAACCCCACCAACTTTCACCTGCTTCTTCCCTGGCCGGTGCGCCTGTATGATGCCGCCAATCAGGGGGGCCGCATGCAATAGTCTCGAACAGGTTGGGGTCCAAGGTACTGCGGCTGTACAAGATCGGAGACGCCAGTTGGGTAGGTGAAACTCTGGAACATGGCATCTCGCCATGAGATGTGCGTGTATTGGCGACAATGACCCCCGGACAACCATCCCACGCTGCAGGTCTGGCCAGTAGCTTCCGTTAAATGAAATGAATAATTTGTCCACGCCGGGTTGTCAAGGTCTGAATTAAGTGAGGTCGATCTTGGGAGCCGTATTCGCAGAGCACTGCAAATAGTCGACAGTGGCCGTATGACGAAGCTTGAGTGGAGTTCGCACGTGTGGCAGACCAAGGACATAACAGCCAGCCTCTTCTTCCCCTCACTCCGGGCTTGAGCGGAAAGACGGAATGGAGACGTTGTTGATGGGGCTGGTCAGCCTTAGGCTTGGAGATTTGGAGATGGCGGGATATATTTCAGCCTGTCGCTGGCTCTGCTTTATAGTGTACTCGTAAACCCGCACGGCTATCGACCCAGCTTCCAGCCGGGTTTGGTCCCCCACGCGGCAACGTCTGAGGGTTGTGGTGTCGTCGTCCGATGGTAGGCTGGTGTAAGGAGTCGCCCAAATGCACGGACGAGACATGAGAGAGTGCAATACTGAGGTGAGAGGTGAATGGTCAGCTCGCGGTGCGTAGTAATTTTAGGCTAAAGAGAGCCGCGCGAGCTGTGTGGGATATCGATGCACCGTTGGGCGCACCCTTCCCGCCCGAACATGGTTTCGACATGGCTGCGTCGACTTTTCGGCTCACCAAGAAGAAGGCAGGCTGGCAGGTGCAAAGCCGCAGTGCGTCAAGAAGCGACGGAAGAACACCGAGGACTCCTCTTCTGAAGGCTGGAGGAAGGTGCCTCGAAGCTCAAGCTTCGAAGCTGTGCTGTGTGTTGTGGTTTGTTGTGCTCTGGTGCGCTGTGCTGTGACGGAGCATCGATGGCAATCGGATGCAGGTCGATGCAGCTCGCGAGACTCGGCCGGCATTAAGGGACGAGGGAAAGCGTCAGCATGCAGCAGACGGAACGAGATGCAGCAACCAAGCCTGCAGACTCACCAGAGGTCTGCAGAAGAGTGCAGCCAGCG